ACTATTTATTACTATAATCTTCTTTAGAAACTAGCTTTATAGCTAAATAGCTATATCTTTCTTTAATTTAAATACTTAGAACTATCTATAAGTTAAGAAGGTTTTTATAATATAGAGGCTATAAGTAATACCTCTAAAGCTTTATAATATTAGTTTTAGGAAATTAATCTAAAGCCTCTAAAAAGCTTAGGTTAGTTATTTTTATTATCTATTACTAAGGTGTTATATTAACTTTACTATAAGGTAGATATAACACTTATATCTTATAGGAGGTACTTTAAAGAGGTTTATATTAGTATCTCTTATAGTAGTAATAGTTACCTCTCTAGATAGATATCTTAAATAAGTGTAAAAGGTTTAGTAATCTAGCCTAAAAGAGCTAAATTTATTACCTTAGTTAGAGGGATAGATCTAAAGCTAAGAGATTTATATATCCTATTTAAAATTAGTAATAACTTTAGATATATCTTTATAAACTAAGGTATTATCTAGACTATTAAAATAGATATCTATCTTCTAAAGAAGATTAATATTAATAATTTATATTATATTATAAGGCTTATAGAGGGTACTATATAGTTAGAAAGTAGTCTTTTTACTACCTAGCTTAGTGGTAATCACTTTAGCTATACTAATAGCTTAGCTAATTTAGTCCTTTCTACCTATATAGTTTATAGTTAATCCTTAAGGGAGATCTCTAAGTTCCTCAAAAATAGAGAGATTATTAAGAATATATCTACTAGTATTAGTATTTAGTATAAAGGAGTCTATCCTCTTAATTAAGGTTATAGATATAATATATTAACTTAGTTATACTTCTTAGTTATTATTTTCTTCTTTATTAACTTCTTTAATAGTACTATATATAAAGAAACTATTAGTTTCTATATCTATAGTTTAACTAGTAAAACTATAGCTAAAGTATATAGATTTCTTTATTAGTTACTTCTTAACTCTCTATATATAAGTGATTTTATATAGATCTTTAATTAGAAGTTAAAAGTTAAAATATAGACTAAATACTCTAAAGTTTTCTATTAAGAATAGTAGAAAGGTCCTCTTCTAAACTTAAGCTAATAAGGTATCTATAAAAGTCTCAGATTATTAGTTAATATCCTATTTAATACTAAAGTTTCTAAAGATACTATTTTAGGTTTAGCCTTCTGAGGTAAATACTAAAATAGATATTTATATTATTAATTACTAAGTTATTAATAGTTTATTTAAGTACTTAAACTTATTATACTTTAAGGTATAATACTTAAAGTACTTAAGAGAATACTTATTATACTTCTTAGGGTATTAGGTTATCTTTCTATAATAGTAACTATATATCTTATATCTATAGAGAGTCTTAAGATACTTAATATTATAGGAAATATATAAATCCTATAGTTCTATACTTTTAGACTTAAAAGCTTAAGTTTACCTCTTTATAGTAAACTTCTTCTTATTTAATAGAGCCCTAACGCCTTAAGAGGCTTACTTATATTATTCCTTTTCACCTAAACCTCTAAGTTCTTATAGGAAGTTATTATAGTTTTAAATCTATATAATAAAGTTATTCTCTATAAAGTCTACTTTAACTTAATTAAAATATCTAAAACCTTAGATAAGTCTATAGGTAAGGGCTATAGTTAATAAGCTTATACTAGAACTATTTAGTTTATTAAAAGTTAAGTGAAAATCTTATATAAAATCCTTTATATTACTATAGTTAACTCTAGTTATTCTATTCTAGTTATTATAGACTTTACTTATAGCTAGTTTATTAAACTTCTAAGTATATTCTTTAGTCTTAATAAAAATATAAAAAGCTAAAGCTATAATAGAAAGACTATTATTAATTATTTCTTCTAAGAGATTATATTAGATCTTCTCTATAAGTAACTATCTAATAAGTATAAAACCTATAAATATTAGATTACCTAAAAAACTTAGATCCTTAACTATTACTACTTTATCTTCCTTAAAAACTATATCTCTATTATATCTATTTAGTATCTTTTTAGCTATTAAGTAGAAGAGCAATCTTATTACTTTAAAAGCGTTCTTAAGATTAATCTCTTATAACTTAAAGCTTATAGCTTTAATTAGTTTAAGGATAGTATTATATATTAGACTTCTTAGATCTAATCCCTTACTAGCTACTTTCTATATAGCTACTCTAGCTATAAAGTCTATAATAGAAAAAGGGGGAAGGTTAGTTTAAAATAATCCCCTTCTAGTAGAGCTAAAAGAAGATAGAGTTAGATTACTAGTTAAGGATATATTATTTCGTTTAATTAATTTAGCTATTTAAGAGAGATTTAAGTAATAGTTTTAAGTAATAGTTAGATAGTTATTAAGTAGTTATCCCTATATAACTATAGTAATTATTAAATAATTATTAAATAATTATTAACTTTAGTAACTTAAGAGTTAAGGAGATTTTATAAGTAGGGGATATATATTATAATAGCTATACTCTCTACTTAGAAGTATTACTTCTAGTAACTTAGTAATCTATTAATTACCTTATAGTAATTACTAAACTATGAGGTTAGAGTCCTAATAGCTACTTAGGAATAACCTTACTATTTAGTAGATGGATTTAGGTATATAGAGGGCTTATAACCTATATGAAGTGGCTTAATTAATCTAGCTATAAGTGCTAGGCGCGCCTGGCTATAAAGTGGTGTGGCTGACCCCTTACGTAAAGGCGGGATTTGGGCTGGGATTTGGGCCTCGGGCCTGGGCCCGGCTGACTACCGTCTCGCACAAGTTAACGCCCGTACCATATCGTTGGGACGGACCGCTGGCTTCAATTGGTCTTCAAACGTATTAGCCCCATCGCGTTGACATGGATGCTGTCTTGGCTGGCCTATCACAGGGTCGGAATCGTATCCGTTGCGCCTACAACCAACGACAGTTATTTTATACCAGATTGCACTGTATTTGGCTGGAAAAAAGACAGTGCGAACGAGCTGTCCGGCAAGAAATTGTTTGTGACTTGATCGTTCAGTCAAGATCCAGCAGGTGGCCGTGGTGCGTTGAGCAGTCACACAGTTGGTTGCGTGGTGCGACTAGGTCGATGGTCCCATCCGCACCAACAGCCTGATGCAAGGGAAAGATGCTCATAAGCTAGTCGTGTCTTTGTGAGGACGTTGGCTTCCGTGTCATCGATTCCCTCTGCATTTTTTCCCCTCACAACTACGGCAGTCCATGGTATTTGCTACTCGTTGAATCAGAGTCTAGGCCCGGGAGTTCTAGACTTCTTGATTCCTCAACATGATTTCCGTCATTTTGCTGTCTTACATCTTAGTCCTTTCATTTTCATCTGTCTTTATCGAGGCTGCCTGCTATTATCCCAACGGGAGCATTGCCCCCAACGATACACCATGTCGAGACGATACAGCCGAGTCAACTTGCTGCGGGCAGGGTTACGCTTGCCTCTCTAACGGCATGTGCCAGGCAACAGGCTCAGAGTTGCAAAAGGACGGTGCCACGGAACTCGTAAGGGGAGCTTGCACCGACAGGTCGTGGAGAAGTTCAAGCTGCCCGTTATTCTGCATCAACCCAGAGACCGACAATGTTGGAGGAGGGATAGGTGTTGCCAAGTGCCAAGGTACGACGCAAGAGTTGTATTATTGCATCAACTCGGTCCAAGACCAGGTTAATTGCACCGCCAAGCAGAACGTTTTGTTCTTCCAACGTAAGTTCAGTTGCTATTTGTGCATGTCAATGTTGGCGTGTCTCCTCATCTTTATCGACCCGGCTGACGCATCTCGTAGAATCTGCAACCGCAATCACAACTATCGGTGTCGAGGCGACGACTTCGGCAGCGTCCACAACAACAACATCCGAACCCAGTGCATCGGCATCACCATCGGCAGTAACCTCCGCCGCCACATTAGACCCGTCGAGACTACGGAGCCAAAACCCCATAATCACAAGCAGTGCCACACAGAGCCCGACGAGCAGCACAACCAACCAACCAGACGCCGCGAACGACCGCAGCGTGACGATTGGTGCGGCCGTGGGCGCATCAATCGGCGGCTTAGCCCTCGGAGCTTTCGGTGTGTGGCTGTTCTTCTTCTTGCGTCGACGGCGGCGGGCTAGAGAACAATCCGTCGGAGACAGGGCTCCTTCATATGCTCCTTCATACGCTCCTCAATATCAAAGCCCTCCACCGCATCAAGTCTATGAAGCGCCGGTCGAGTGGAAGCCACCGGCCAGTCACCAACATTTTAGCCCGCAAGAGCTGCCGGCATGGGAGCACAACAGGAGGTAATCAAGGCGTACACAAAGTAGCCAAATAGATTGGCACTTTATAGACTGTTTCTTGATGACCACACACTCGTCATCTTATTGGTTTGAAGTTTTGGTATTTGGGCGGGTGTTTCTGGCTACCTATGTGGATTGGGTGGACTGGGTGGATTGGGTGGATGGTAAGTATATCCAGCAACGATGACGACGATGATGACAGAAGGGCCGAAGACGATAGGAGAGGCAATAGGCATAGAGACACCAGTAGAGATTTGTTGGGCGGAGATGATCAATATCCTTCTGCCTGTCAACGAGCTCCTGCTGAAAGACGCAAAGTTTGGGTGGTGTTGAGACAGGTTCTGAAGGAATCTTGACCATCAAACACTTTTACTTTATATACCTATTAGATATCCGATATTTTCAACTGTTTTCTCAACGTAACCCTAAGTAAGAGTGTTCATGTGGTTATATAAGACCCTATGTTACTAACCCCGGTCCTGCCCAATGGGAATGGAACATGCGAATACTCGCAAATCAGATTGTGGCAGCGCACCTCGGTGAAACCTGAGATCTTCGGTAATTCTTCTGCGGCCCGACAACTATCCCGGCCACGCCCAGCATTGAGTAAGCACCAAGATCCCCGTTTCCCGTGGCTTATCGTTTTGTCTTCACCTCCGTCCTGTGTGATTACTGCGTTGCGTAACAGCCCCATTGAAGACTCCAAGCAATTCCATGAATAGTGAAAAGTCAAGATGCTGGCAGCATTTGGCCACATACGCTGTGGCGCATACTCGAGGCATGTTTCTGCGCTGAAGCCTCGCAAGCGTTGGGCTACCTCTAACCTCCGTGGACCATCTCGATATCGAGCCTTTAGCTCCTCATCCAAGCCCACCCCTCCAGAAGGGTCATGGGACAGTCATGTCCACATCATCGATCCCGTCAAATATGCGTTTCCCGCCAACGTCAAGCCGCCTAAAGAAGCGACGATGCGCCAAGCACTCGAGAACGCTGACAACCTCGGATTGCCGAACATGGTCTTTGTCCAGTTATCAACATATGGCAATGACAATACGTGGGTGCTAGAGTCCCTAAAACATACGGGACCGGCTAGGGGGCGTGGTGTCGTCGCTTTCGACCCGGAGCGTGTCGACCTTCAGACTCTCAAAGGGTGGCATGATCTCGGTGTCCGAGGCGTTCGAGTCAACCTCAGATCTTCCAAGACTGTTCTTACCAAGACTGAGATCCAGAACGTAATGCACAAGTACGCCGAAAAGCTTCGGCCGTTGAAGACATGGTCGATTGGATTATACGCCGACATGGAGGTCCTTGATCACGTCCAGCCTTTGATCCCCGAACTCCAGGTGAAGGTCGTCCTCGAGCACTTCGGCTCTCCGGCATTCCTTCCACTGGACCCGTCGAAGCAGCCAGGCTGGGAGGCGCTGTGCCGCATGATGGAAGACCCTAGTGTCTACGTCAAAATATCAGCACCGTATCTGTTCTCTAAAGATACAGACTTCTCCAACTTGGAGTCGTTGACAAAGGCGCTTTTCCGTATGCGCAACGGCGCAGGAGTTGTCTTCGGCTCAGACTGGCCTCATACGAAGTCCCGAGGATGGGATGCAAAGCCGTTTGTGGAAAAGGTGGTGGAGTGGTGCGATTGGAACGAGGAGCTGCGAGAGAGGCTTTTTCGAGGCAACGCGCGAGAGCTATGGGACATTGAATGATGCCGCTTCAAGATTTTAGGCATGAAGCAAGGTTATGAGGTTCAAATGCCTTCATCCATAGAGAGGAAAAGCAGATAAAAAGATCAAGCATAAAGATAGACTTTTCTTCGTCGTCCTTTCCGAATATCGATGATGAACTTTCCTATCCAGGCGAGTAGCAGGCATACCTAGACAGCATTAGGGGCGACGACAACGACGATGTGGATAGGGACAGGGACGACGGGAATGATAGGAACAATTAGAATATTATGATAGGATAACCAATAGACCTGTTATAAGTAGTTCTTCGCTCAGGTAGTCAGATATATCCACCAGCGCTATATCCTAATCAATTAAGCTAAGCCTGAGGGTCTAGCTTAATTAATTAACTGAAGTTTTATAAGAAGTTTACTTAAATTAACTAGCTTAGCTTAAGATTAACTAAATTACTTATTTAGGAAGTTAGTGAGGTTCTTATAATATCTTAATATATTAGAAATATATTTATTTAGTATTCTAAAATTATTTTAGCTTCTATTAACCCTTCTACTTAAAGTAATAGCTATTAATAGTAATACTACTACTTTAAGTTTAGTTCTAGAGGTATTACATCTCCTTAAATAGTAATAGTTTTATTAAAAACCTCTATAATATTAGTATTAGTTTAATAAAGCTAAATACTCTCTTATAGTTAGTTACTATTACTAAGATAGTAAAGATATTAAGAATAAATTTATTAAGTATTAGGAAAATCTATTAATATAAAATCTACTATTAAATAAGATTATTAATAAACTAGGTAATTAAGAGGGTAAAATACTACTTAGGTTTATTAACCTTATTAATAGTAGTATTATAAAAGTTACTATTTAGTTATTAATAATAATTAAAGTTTTTAAACTTTAGAAGAACTATAATTAGAGTAAAAGACCTTTATAGAGGCTCTAAATAGACTAGATTATTAATATTAAGTAGCTATCTTAATATACTATTACTCTTAATAGTTTTAAAGACTATTCTAAGTAATTTAAAGTTACTTATAAGTCTTTAGAAAGTCTTAATACTTTTTAAACTATTATAGACCTCTACTAAGGTATAATATTATTACTATAATATAGAGAGGAGACTTTCTAAGCTTCTTATAATAGTTATTAAGTATTTACTAGTTATTAATAATTAATAAATATATAAATATATAAGAGTTAAAGTTAGTAACCTAAGGGAGGTATAGTGAAGTAGTAATATAGTCTAACTATATATAAGTTAAGATATTATTAATTAATAAGGTTTATAAGGCTAATACTCTATTAAATTAATATAATACCTTTATTAATTAAGATAGTTATAATAAGAGACTTTAAGATACTTATATAGCTATAAGATTAATCTCTTTAGAAGTAGGAGTATTATAAAGCTTATACTAATCCTTAAGTTAATTTAAGAGGTATTTAAAGCTTATTAAAACCTCTTAAAGTTAACTATACTTATTATTCTTACTTTAACCCTTATATTACTTAGTTTATTTATAGAGAGGCTTAAGAACCTTATTTAACTTAATAAGAACTTATTAATCCTTATTAGTAAGGATATCCTTATTAAGAATATAATTAGACTTATACTTAAAACTTATAGTATAATATATATAACTATTAATCTAGCTATACTTAAGTAAAGTATAGTAGATTATATTATATATTAAGTTCTATTAAGTAGTATTATTTAATATTAGATTTAGCTTTTATAATAATTTCTTTTATAGAGTAAAGATATTATTACTATTATTAGCCTTATTACTAATAGATAAGAAGGCTTTAGAGTATTATAATAATAATCTAATATATTTAATAATATTCTAAAACTTATTAATAGGTCCTATAGTCTTCTATTAAGCTATATCCTCTTTAATCTTATTAATATTAATAAGATAGTTAAACTCTTACTTAAATACCTCCTTATTAACCCTATAAATTATAGTATAACTAATAAAATTAAAGATATAGCTATAATATTAAAGTTAGTAATACTAAGTATTTATTTTAGTATATAAAAGTGAAATAGATAGATATAAAGCTTTAATATAAGTACTATTAGTATTAATATTATTAGAGATAGTAATATTAATTTTATTAAGTAGTTATTAGTTTTTTATAACTATATATATTATAGTAGTAATATTCTTATTAGAGTAGGTATTAAGCTAGTAGTAGAGACTTAAGAGGTATTATATCTACTTACTTAATTAGTTAATAAAGTAACTAAAAATAGTAATAATTATATATTAGTTAGGTGAAATCTATAAATTAAAGGATATATAAACCTTTATAAGTACTATCTATATCTCTACTTTAATCTATACCTTCTTAGATATATAAAGTTATTAAAATTAATCCTTCTAGTTAGTTTTTAACTAATATATCTAGGTATTAATATTAAGGTTAAAAAGGCNATATATATTATATATACTAATTACTAAATATTATAAGAAGGTTACTTATATTAATAAGAAAACTAATAATAAGTTCTTTAATCTAAACAGTTTTCTACTTAAGTATAGTAATAGAAATAAATTAAAAGTACTTAAATAGAGGCTTAAAATTATTAAAGTTATTAAGAGATAGATAACTAGTTTTATAATAATCTTAGAAGATAAAGTAATTATTCTTAAGATATCTAGTAGTAATAGAGATAGAAATAGTATTAAATAGTTAATTAAGAGTCCCTACTTTATTATAGTATTAGTAGATCTAATAAATACTACCTTTTATACTATTAAGTAAGATCTTATAAATAAATAACTTCTTATTAGTAATCTAAAAAGTATAGCTTTAATTACTTTTTTTTAAAATAGCTTTAATATTAATAAACTACTAGCTTTTCTATATAGTATAAAATAAAGTCTTAAAAGTATTATAAGTAGCTAGGTTAATAGTTAATATATTATTAATAGTAGTAGATAATATATAAATTTAAGTAGTAATCCTATAAGGAGTTAATACTATATAGCTAATAAAGTAATTAATATATTAAGTATAAGTTAATAGAGGTATTATTAGCATAGGTATAAGCGTATTCAGGGGCGTAGTATATGCGCCTATATAGTATAGGGTTATAGATGGGCTTATATTATGATAAAAGGTGATAATCTTAAGCATTTATGGGCATTTAATCGTATAGATAATAATAAGGGAGTTGATATATTCTGATAACTCTAGTTATTATTCTTCTTAGGTTTCCTCCTCTAGTAGGGAAAAGTAAGGGGAAAGATAACCTAAAACGTAACCTGCTAAACTACTAATTACATAAGGTACTTATGTAACTATACGTATTACATAATTAATATTATAGTTATAGGTTATAATAAATAGAGTATTTTTATATGAGGTTTAATACCTTAAACTTTATTAGTTTATTTTATATAGATTATTAAAGTAAGTTAAGCGTTATTATTATTCTTATATTATTATTAATATTATAAAAGAATATTATATATTAATATCCCCCCTTAAGGTATATATAGCTAATTTATAGTATATAGCTTACTCACTTAATATATATATACATTATAGGTATAAAAAACTTAAAAACCTCATAGGAAAAATAAGAAAAATATTCCTATAATATATATAATATGTTTATAACTAGTTGAAAAACTCTTATTAAACAACCTTATAGGTAAAAAGGTAAGAGAAAAACTAGTAAGTTATTTCTTTAATACAGTTATTATTATTATTATTGTTATTATTATTATTATTATTGTTATTATTATTATTATTATTATTATTATTATTAATTATATTTATTAAAGTATTAAATATAACTTTACCTACTAGCTTAGTTAATATATCTGCAATATTAGACTTAAAGTCTATATGAAATAATATGTAATCTTTATTTAATAAAGATTCTCTAGTAAAGTGATATTTTATATTAATATACTTAGATTTCTTATGAAATTTAGGATTTTCAGCTAGCCTTTTAGCTACTAAGTTATCTATAAAAATCTTAGACTTTTTAATAAGATTAAATCTTAGTTTATTTAAATTATAGTTATAGTTATTATATAGGTATNTAATAGGATTAAATCTTAGTTTATTTAAATTATAGTTATAGTTATTATATAAGTATAAAGTCTCTTTAATAGCTTTAGTTAAAGCAATATATTCAGCTTTATAAGTAGATAAAGCTATAGTTTTTTGTTTTATAGTGCTATAAGATATTATATTATATAAACCCTAGCAAAATATATAAGCTAACGTAGATTTTCTATTATCTAGGTCTCTAGCCTAGTTAGAGTCTAAATAACCTATTAAATCCTAAATTTTATTATTACTATAGTTATAGTATATTCCTTTATTAGGATATTTATTTAAGTAACCCTATAGATAATTTAGAGCTATAAAATGCTCTTTAGAAGGGTTTATTATATATCTTAATAAGATTATAACAGCTAGAGCTATATTAAATCTAGTTTTTAAAGCTAGATATAAAAGTGCTCTAATTTGCTATTAAAACTATAGAATTTCTTCTTTAGAAGTATAATATCTATTTATATATAGTTTTATATTATCTCTTATAGGAGTTATAAATAGATTTATATTTATTTAATATCTTTTATATATATTTAGTTTAATATATAAAGAAAGACTTATTAAGTCTATCTATCTCAAACTTATAGCTTAAAAAGGTATTAAGCTCCCCTAATATTTATATTTTTATATATTACCTTAATATATTATATATATAATTACTAGTAGTAGTATTATTAGCTATTAGTAATATATCGTCTATATAGCAATATATTATAGCTTTATAGTTATTTTTATTAAGTATAAATACTGCTTTATTATAAGGTGAAATAATAAATCCTAATTTTATTAATATAGCTTTTAAGTAGTTATACTATAATCTAAGGCTTTATTTTAACCTATATAAAGCTTTAATAAGCTTATAGTAATATTTATTATTATTAGACTTATAATTATAATTAGGATTAAATTCTAACTTATTAGTAGTTTTATTAT